GAGGGGGAGAAATGTCTGCCTTCCCAAGAAAACAAGGATGGAATTGGAGACCTTTTACGTCCTAAATCAGTGGCCTGCTTTATGAATAAAGGAAGTTTCTGGTCCTCAGGGTGTTGACTCCTGTTGTGTTGGAAGACAGCTGAGGTCTCCAGTCACGCTGAACGGTTGATCGAGTATATTGTTGTCGACACTGAGACTGAGGACTTCTCTAGGGCTTCCTCCAAAGGCTGGGGGTAAACCTGAGACCTTCTGTGCACAGAGATGCTCTGTTGCTGATCTACAGCCTAAAGGAATTAGAAAAAAAAATTGCTGAATGCTCAGCATCAAAGCCTTAGAATTTGGCAATGGGTGTTTTGGACAGATGGAACTCCTTTTCGCTGACCTCTTAGGTCTGCTATTGTCTTCTCTGACCTGCAAGGGTGCCCCCCTGTCCTCCAAAGTCCCGGGCAGGGGTCTTTCCAAGCCTGGCAGCTCAGAATCCTGTAAAATGGTGGGGGGGACCTTCTGTGTCAATCACTCAGAAAAGTCAGGGAGGAGCCTGGGTGTGGGGGTGGCCTGGCAAAATAGGTGGCCAAACTTGGCATGGGAACTGTCCGGCGAAACCCAGCTTCACCCACCCAACAAGGCCAGCCTTGGATGCCCGTCGCACAGGATGTCCACTGCTTTTTGGAACGCGCGATGCCCATTTTGGCCTGATTCAGAACAGCGGCACCCTGCACAACCTTGCTTTTCTTCCATAGGGTCTGGAATGGCAGTTCTTCAGAAGCTTTTGAGTATAAGATGACAAGAGGACCCTTCTCCCCGGTGCCAAACACAATCAGTGTGGAAAGGGCTTCCTTTTGGCAGAAGACCCGTTCTTCCAGGCGCCACTGGCTAATTATCTCACATTCCCCCAAACCCGCAAAGCTTCTCCTGCATCCTTGTTCACTTACTGCAGCTGGGAGTAAGGGAGGAACCAGCAGCTCCATCTGCCGATTAGCCAAAGCAGGTAGGATCTGACACCAGCTACCTGGGACCCAATTAATCTCCATCCCACCAGGCGTAAGTTCAGATATAATGATCTCTTAAATCAACAGCAACACAGAGCTCAACACAGTTTCGCCCGAGGCTTTAGCTTGACGATCTTCCCTCCCTCCAAGGCTTCATTCATAAATGTCACCAAGATGCTTAATTAAGTCCCTGGAGAATTTTATGTTGTTGTGCTTTCTCTCTCTCTTTTTTAAAGGAATATATGCAGGGGACTCGCTCTTGAAAAAGAAACGCACCGTAGAGATCACAGAAACAGTAGCTGGGGACGAGAAGTTGGGGTGAGAGGCCGAAACGTGTGCCAAGCCCGAACGGGAAGGTATTTCCATGGAAAGAGGGCATACCTGCATCAGGTGGGGCTCAGACCATGAATATTCAGTTCAGCCAGCCAACCGATTGCAACTGATGCTCTACGAGCAGGGCCAGGAGATTGGCTTCCAGGACTTAGTATCCTAGAACATGGACGTTGTGTTTCCAAATTCATTGGGGTTCTGGGAGTTGAAGTCCCCCTGGCTTGAAGCTGCTGAGGTTGAGAAACACTGGTGTAGCCCATCCAGTCAGTCAAAGCAAACAAGCTTAACATCAAATACTAGGAGGGGGAGAAATGTTTGCCTTCCCAAGAAAACAAGGATGGAATTGGAGACTTTTTACCTCCTAAGTTGGTGGCCTGCTCTATGAATAAAGAAAGTTTCTGGTCCTCAAGGTGCTGACTCCTGTTGTGTTGGAAGACACCTGAGTTCTTCAGTCATGCCAAACGGTGGATCAAAGAGTATATTGTTATCAGCCTTTTTTTTTTCTGGGGGGGAGGGATGCTAAGGAAACACAAATACTGTAGATGTATTAAATCTATTTAATGCACCTCTCTTAAGTGCCCACTAAAAACAGGCATAGAATTATATGCTGCCAATGTTGGCAATGCCGTCTTGGAGGACGCTGGAAGTCATTGAAGAAAGGGGCCTGGGGAATCCTCTGTGGCCAGCTTGCTCCCCCCTTCTTTAAATACACATGTGAACCAATAATTAATAGCCTTTGCAGCAGCAAATCTCATTGGTTTGATTACGCTTTGTGTTAAGGAAATACTTCCCGAGTTTGACCTGAATCTTCTGCAGTGTCAAATGAATTAGATTCCTGAAGAATATTTGGTTAGCAACGGAGGGGAGGCAGGTAATCTGCAAGCTATGTAATCCTAAGAAATGCCATTAACAAGCTAAACGTTGGACCTCTGAAGGAAGAAATAGATCTCCACTGCTATTAGAAATAACACCAACACTGTCCCATTGAAGAAAATAACACTGGCAGAATCAAAGTTGTCTAACTAGGCCAAATCTGGTGATGAGACATGAAATGAGACCCTCTTTCATTTGCAAACACAACTTAGCAGGCCTGAAGGTCTATATCAATGTTTCTCAACCGTGGCCACTTTAAGATGTCTGGACTTCAACTCCCAGAATTCCCCAGCCAACCATGCTGCCTGGGGAATTCTGGGAGTTGAAGTCCAGACATCCTAAAGTGGCCAAGGTTGAGAAACACTGGTCACTATTCTTGAGTCACTGTTAGCACTGAATCTGAGTAGAGTTTCTATGGGGGTAAGATATCAGAGACGGTGGATTTTGAGTTCCACTAAGAATGTCCAACAGAAGACCAGCAAAGACATAGTCCCTCAGGAAGCTCTTCCTGTTGGAAACCCCACAAAAAGAACGAGGAATTATGAGTTGCATGGAGAAAGTATTATTTGAATTTTTAAGCTACACTTAGATCAAACTTCCTTTTTGGGCATGATGACCAGCAGACATTAACATTTCCTCTGTTCAAAGTGTTACATCTTCTGTCAAGGAGCACAAAATGTTAAAGCCCTCAAGGGAAGGCTGAATAATAATAATAATATTCAGCAAAGATCAGGCCTGACCAACAGCGATGTAGTTCAAACTAGTCTTATCTGCTCCTGTTGGCAGAGCAATTGTCATCAACCAATGATTTTTTTCCCCAGCACTCAGGCAACACTTGGCAAACTTTGGACAAGCTTCTAGCCTCTTCTCGTTACACAGATCATCATGAACAGCTTGAAGCTGATGTGAATTGGAATTTTCTACCCTCTCTTATTTTTTTCAAGCCACCTTTATGGCTTATCTCTACAACTTAACAATATTTATCCTACCCTCCAAAGGACCATGAGTGGTGTCTATGTTGGGTCACAGCTACTGTACGTAAAACGATTCACTGAGTGCTGCTGTTCACACGTTATACTTCTCCATGGATAACTTAACCAAGTTTACTTGACCCAATTTTCTGGGTTCGCACAAAGGGTGTGAACTGATCCCTGAATGAACCCATTTCCTGAGGTTACACAACACAATCGGCTAACCAAAGGAGCCAGATTGAGAGAACATCTCTCCACTAATTGACCATAAAATATTTTATCCTGTGTCTTTCGAATGCCTGTTGGCAGCTCTAGTTCTTAGAAAGAGATTTTGGTCTGTGCAGAGGGAACGGCAGCTGCAACTCCATCGTGCTAATGGGCTCTTTCTTTAGATTTTAGGCTTCAGGGTGCCCAGGCTCAAGCACTAAAATTGATATAGCCCACAGTGCAATGGGATGATATAGCCAGAAAAATGCCACCACCATCCATGTTTAGAGGAAGGAATTATATTATTTTGAAACAATCCTCTTCAAAACTAATTAGAACAGCTGCTGCTAGGTCTTTTTCCTAGAAAAAGAGGAAAAATCTGTCCCCTTTGCTTCTAGCAATTGTTCTGCCTCCCCTGACCAAGCCACGCAGGTGGTGCTGGGAGGGGAGATCTGATGCTTTCAGGTGGGATGTTATTGGCTGGTGCAGGTCAGCTGGCTAAAGCTCCAGGTGACCTAAATGAAGGTGACTCTACTTGACTGCCTGCCTTGAGTTTGTAAAATGGAGAGTAGGGGTTGAAGCAATTTTAGGCATTGGGGCTGATCTGCTGGCATTTGCACCATAGTTTGATGGGCACAAGAGGCAGAGTAGGCAGATGTTAGCAAGGTAGAAACTGGGTTCTCTCCTGCTGAGCCAAAATGTGGTTTATTTGTGGCTTGGGGTTGAGCACAAACACTGTCAGTGTATGAAGAATTGCTATCCATCCCAAACACCTGAATTGCATCAGATTGGGGAACGCTTTCATTTTATAAAATGCAGTTCATAAAGCTTCCCCATGCTGTAACACTAATAGGTTAGCATTTATATCAGAAATGGACCATATATTTCTTCTGGGCTGTGGGCTGCACTTCACCTGTGGGGGGTTTACTGGTGGCAGGAGAAAAAATGAAAAGGGATGCCTCATTCACATTTAAATTGAACAAAATCAATTCAGTTCCTCTCCAGTTGTGTATATAGTACTTTACAATTCTCAACTTCTGGAGAGCTTCGCTCTCAAACCTTTAGGATACCAAATTGCACGCTGCCAGTTTACAAGCAGCAGACAGAAGAAATAGGTTAGATAGTACTGTGAGGTGCTACAGAGGCCAAGGAAAATGGTTAAAAATGGAGCAGCAATTCTTGTAAATAAAATGTGAACCTTGCTTCTTTTAAAGCAGGGGGGAAAAAGAGATAAAACAGAAAAAATAGAGATTAAACTGGGGCTGCCTTTGTAGATAGTTCAAGAGATAGAGCGGATTCCTTTTTCTTCCAGAAAATTCCTGTTCCTCTTAACGGCAAAAAGGAACACATTTAAGCCTGTTACTATAACTCAGACTGACACCCTCTGCTCACTGCTGCCTGAATAATGCAGTGTATTTCTGCTCGTTCAGTTGTTATGGGTACAGCAGCCAACTTAGCGCCCATGAGAAGTGGCTACAGAAAAGGAAGCTACATATAAATATTCCTTTGCAAGAAAATCATGATGAATAACAGGAATCAGAAAGTAAGACAGGCAGCAGCCGGTATGAGGTGCTCATGAAACCAGCTGAAATAGGGAATGCATGCAAATAAACGTTCGAGACTTTTGTTGTGCTTCTCTTTTTAAATTTATTTCTGAGTGGTATTTCATATGCAGGCGCTTCAGTTGCAACTCTTATGGACACAGTGAAAAATAAGGACATAAATTCCCTACAACATGTAGCCCAAACATACCTTGTCCCATTGTGGGCTCCACATAATGGTTAAGCCATCTCTCTTTAAGCTCCCGCTGGCTCAGATCATTCAAACTTACAAAGGACAGGGCCTAAGGTGGTGGTGGTGGTGGTAAGATATGGAAGGAATTCATATAATTGTCAGAAGTTGGTATCAGAGATTGTTTGGAAGAACTTGAAAACAATGGGAGGTGAGAGGAATTTACAATGTTTTCGTGGTGGGCGGGAGAAGCAAAAACTGATAGGATAGCAACCAAGAACAAACAGGGAGAAAAAAAAGAAAGGAATTTATAGCACATAAAAGAGAACCCTGTGAAAATGCTAGGTTCAGCTGACGACTTTCCATTCTTTGAGCTTCAAAGGGTTTCAGAGATTTTCTGAAAAGTATCTGCAAGGTATTTAGACAGACACAAATGAGGCACCTCTTCAGGAAAGCTGTTAGAGAAACCATGCCATCACAGATGTGACCTACAACGTTTCTCAGAATCCGGTCAGAAGATGTCCACTTCATCCAAAGAACAACTGACTTCGGAGTCTGGGTAGATGGAAAATATGGGTGAAAAGTTTGGGCAGATGAAAAATGGGCGAGGGTGAGAAATGTGTGACAAAATCCTCACACTATTCAAGGGGTGGAGAAATACTGCTGTTCTTGTTCCTTTTCCAGAGATGATTACTCAGGATTAATCAATCATACCACTGAGTCTGGTCTATTCCTACATGTATGAGTAAAGCTCACGGCAGCTAAAACAATACTTTGATGCTTACGGTTACCCATGTTACCTGAGCCTTCAAAGTCTAATATACTCTGCGACATCATAGCAACTAAACCAGTTGCAGCCACTTCTGCTGCAAAAGTCTATCAATGTTGTTGAGAAAACCAGACCATCTGGGTTGAGGTGCAGAAGCTAAGAAGATGCTTTCGGAAGTTAAGACATCACAACGCAAAGAGAAAAGGCAATGATTGCAAACAAATGGGGCATAACCCAGAACTGAAACCCCAAAACTGAAAAGTCATTTGATGAAGCTTTCAAAAGGGTGTACTATTTCAGTTTAGGGATGGGGGAGGATATAAAGAAAATGTACTGTTTTCTAGCACGTTCTGGAGAACTTTGGGTCTGGTCTTCTCCCTGACATAACTGGCTATGCAGAGGGAATCTTCATTTTGTTTAAAGAGCAGTCCTGTTCAATTGTATGAATGGTACTGCTTGACAAAAACTACTTCACGTGCCTGTTCTGATGATGTGTTTTGGGTTTAAGCTGTGGAAAATGCTAAAGTACAATACAGCTTGTGAGAAGTCCAGCTGGGACACACTGGATCCTCTGGCAGAATCAGCAGAGAGGAGGTCATCTTGGAGCCTCCATGAGGCAATACAAAAAAAGCTGAAGGACTGGCTGTGTTCACACCATCTACTTAAGGTCAGGTAAAGACTAAGGAGGTGTCTTCATAAAAGCATGCTAGCCTTGATTTGTGCTCACCTTGGCTGGGATTTGTTTATGGCTTTGCATGTTGAATGATGCCAGCCTTCTGGTGAGTTTAAGATTTAATGCATGGTGCCAATCCAGAAAATGGATTAATTCAGTTCCCAGGTTATGTATATTGTACGAATGTAGATGCCGCACGTTCACATGTAGTCCGTGCCTCCAGACTGAGGCATCCAATCCCATTTTCCCACGATTGCTGGCAGTAGCATCAGCACCTATGCACCCTTATGGCTTTGTTCTCCTGTAAAGGAATGTATATGCTCTGTGCTTTTTCATTTTTTAAATTTCTCTTTGTATGTGTTCTGTGCACAGTTCCAGTTATATAAACCCCTCAGGTCTCCTGCCTGTTCCACCTTTCTGATGCTTTCCAGCCTATAATCAAAACATTCAGAATTACGTAGCTAATGGAAACTGCTGAAAGCCGGGGTGGAGCAGAATTTGTCAACAAAAGCATCCTTGCTGCGCCTGGCCTCGGCCTGAGTCTTTGCGAAGGTGGGAAGTCTTCTCTCTCCGAATTGCCTGTTCCAGTGACTCCCGCTGCAAAAAGTGGGGGGTGTTCATTGAGGAGTTTGAGGAACGCCATAGAAGTCGGGCTGAACTTCTCTCACCCTATCCAATTATCCCATCTCGGGGCCACCAGCAGGCCAGCTCTGTGTCCACACAATCCCAGCACTGGGGGATCTTTGCAACTGATGTTGTGGCCTTATTTACGCTTGGGTGTCTTTTGGCGATAGATTTCTTCTGTGAAAGGCCTAGGAGACGATGTTGGGAAAAGGGGTGAGGGGTAGGCACCAGGTGTTGGTGGGAAGGGAAACAAGAAAAGAGTGGTGAATATTCAGAGGTCCCACTGCCATCACCATGTCTTTCTCAGTCCACCTAGATCCTGCCTTTTCTCCATGTGCAAAGAGTTAGTCATAACTGAAAAAACAACTGGTAAGGTGGGGAGATCCTCACCTCTTTCCTTCTTCAGATTTTTTAATGTCCTATGAGAAAACTATGCAAGAAAACAGTAGTATGTAAGGAAGAAAAGGTAGGTTCAATATGTTGGCGGGGGGGGCTCATAGCTAGCAACTCACTGAAACATCTAACCCCATTTTATACATGCTGAGAGGGTGGCGGATCTCCAGGTGTAAAGCAAAGGTTCTCCATTCTCCACTGAGATCCCGTTGAGTGAGTGTTTGGAACCTTCTTCCACGCAAATCCCAGAAGGTCATCGGTCATCCTTTACATAACTTCTTTCTAGCAAAATTTCCTTTCTCCCCACAACTATCTCTTTTGATGGACTAGGAGTACCTAGGGTGGGAGAGGGACTATCAGCTGGGGGCGGTAGGCAGTAGATTGTTTAGCTATTGAGCAACGGCTTCGAGATCTCCCTGGCCTTTGACCAGCGAGATAGAAGCCATTTCTGAGCCTCTCAACTGAGTTTGATCAAAAGACAGGACCAGAGTGGAACTTAACCCAGAAGAGCGAGTTCAGGGTTGAACAGGGTTAAACAGCATCTACAGCATCCTGGAACAGGATGTATATTGTACATGTATATTGTACATGTATATTGTACATGATACAATAGACTTTGAAGATGTTTGTTCCTCTCTTCAGAGTGATTGGCATTTAGCCAGCATGCAAGAAAACCCACAGAGTTTGGCCATCTCAGGGCCCTGTCGTGACTGAGAAGAACCCAAGCTAAACCCCCCCTTCCTTGTACAAATCACATTTGATTGAATGAACTGGAAATATCTACAACTGCTAGCATATAATTAACATAGCCGGGAAAGCTTATTCTAGGTATGTGTGGGTACTGGAAAATCAACACGTCAATGAAACTTGCAAAACACAATGTTTCTTGGATGAGTTGGGACACACATTAGGTCACAATTAGGTATTCTCTGCAGAACCGTGGCCAAAATGTTTTCAACAGGATGGCCTTGCTTAGCAAGGTCTTGGTCTTTTTCTGTGGTTTTCTGATGGTAATGGTCAATGTGGAGGCTCCTGGCTGTCCAGCTATGCAAAAAGCGGGTCCCACAGAGCAAGGAGCAACTAATTAAGTCACGGGGTCCAGCCTCTCCTAGTGACCTTGATCTGTAATTACAGATATCTCTAGACTGGAAAATGAAGAGTAGAGATCTGCAACGTAGGCACCGATGAACACCCGGAAACAAGAATACCATCATGCATTTGCTATCAGGAGGGGGAACCCTAAATCGCCATCAACCTTTCCAGTCTTCTGAGAGGGAGCCCTCTCTCTCATTATTCATTCACTTTGTTGGACAGCCATAATCTATCTATCATCTATCCCTCCCTCCCTCCGTTTCTCCCTCTATCTCCATCCATCCATCCTGGGTTGACTATCCCTGCTTTGAGACTCTCCTGATGACCAGGTTAGATGTCCAGTCTGAATCACAGGCCATCTTTATATAAAGTCTGCTGGGAAAGCACAGCGAGTAGCTTAATTGAAGCGGGGGG